TTAATTTGTCTTTTGAGGGATACGGTTGAAAATTTTTTGAGAGGCTTAAAAATTAAAAAAATAAATAAATTAGTGAGATAAATGAGTTTGTGTACAAAATACACGATGCACCTGTTCGTGTCATTCTTAATTAGTTAAGGTAGGTTGGGTAAACCCGAAATAATTTTAAGTTATAATCAAACAAAAGGAGCAGTAGATACGGTTGATAAGATGTGCGCTGCTTAAAGAATAAACTTGCAAATATTGTATTTCACAAAAAAAGACTTCTCTGAATAGACAGGCTCAAACTATTGAAAATTGTTTGGTGCCTGTCCATTTTTATCACAGAACACTGATGACAGCTATAACAAGGATAGAAGCCGCTTGGTCACTCGTTACGTTTTACGATTATACAGGTTGTTTTTGCAAGTCGTGGCATAAATTTAATCACTAAAATTAGAGACAAAATGATGACGATTCATGTACAAATTTTTGAAGAAAATAATCTAGAATTTGACTTTGTACTTTTAAACTGGTTTTTATTTTATATAGAATTTAAGTGTAACCAGTTTCGGCCCTTGGCTATCTTGAGAAACTCTACAAATAGATTAACATCTCTCATCTTATCCATATTACAAACAAGTTTCTTAATATTTCTTTTTGTTTTGTTAAAAAAGATCACATATCAAAGTCGAAATCAGATTATTAGTTACTAATTTACAAAATTAAAGTTTAAAAAGTTGTAAAATGAAATTAAGGACGAAGTGTTACAAGTTTACAGGTTAAAATTTAAGAACGCTTTTTTTTAACAAAAGAAGTATTAAGAAACTTGGGAAAAATTCAAGAATCATCATGTGGCTTGAAAATCGACGATTTTTTTTAATCAATGTGAAATGACCCAAAAAATACGTTAAAAATAAAAAGAAAGTGCGGAAAAGTGACTAACACTAGATTCACTTCAGTTATAAAATTTCTGTTATATGATAACTAACTTCAGGTATAAAATGTCAACCTCAATTTTGACATATTTGTAATCTTCATTAAAAATCTTTTAAAATGTGTACAAAAACGACATATTTATCTTGAATATTAATGAAGTTATTTTCAACTTCCGGTTAAGAATGTCAACGTCAATTTTGACATATTTGTAATCGTCATGAAAAATTCTTTAAAATGAGTACAAATATGATACGTTTAATTCCAATGTTACTCGAGATATAAGCAACTTCCGATTTGAAATGTCAATGTCATTTTGACATATTCTTAATTTTTTATAAAATGTCTTAATATTTGTCACAGAAACAAAAATATAATTAAAAAAAAAAAATAAAAAATTAAGGTTTGTATTAATATTTAAAAATTAAATTGCTACCTTGATTATTGCTAACTTAGGGTTTAATGTTTTTTATTCAAACTTTTTTTTTTGAGATAAGTGGGTCATCTTTGCACTCATTTGAAAGGCTTTTTTAATGAAGATGACAAATATGTCAAAATAGACGTTGACTCTTCAAACCGGAAGTGATTGTATTTCCATTAATATTAAAGTTAAATATGTCGAGTTTGGACTCATTTGAAAGGGTTTTTTATGAAGTTGACAAATATGTCAAAATTAAAAGTGGAAAGTTCGAACTTTTTTGTTTTTTGAGATAAATGCGTGAAGTTTGGACTCACTTTAAAGGTTATTTTATGAATATTACGAATATAATAATAAAATTAAAGTTGACATTGACAATTGAAAGTTTTTTTCACAACTAAACCCGAATATTTCTAGTTCTCGTTCTAGTTTTAGTTCAATAAAAATATACAACATAGTAATATCTTATGCTAACTAGTGCTACCTACCACTGCCAGTAGAACTAACACTAGACCGAGAACTAGTCCCACGTCTCTCAAGACGGCTAAACTTGAATGATTCTAGTTCTAGGTCTAGTGTTAGTTTTAGTGCAATAAAAATGTGTAACATAGTGATATCTAATGCTAACTAACGCTACCTGCCGTTGTAGTTTGTAAAATGGATAAGATGAGAGATGTTAATCTATTTTTAGAGTCTCTGAAGATGGCCAAGGACCGAAACTAGTTAGACTTAAATTCTATATAAAATAAAAGACATAAACTTTTAATCTTATACTATCATCTAGAAAACGACACTGGCCCGAAATTGTAGGTTCATCTATTTTTTCTATTGTAGAATTTCTTAGCGTATCTAACAAATAACACTAGGGAAGTGCTATACATCGATTTTCTTGAAACTTGGCATACAAGTAGCGTATGGAAAAATATTCGACACGTATATCGCCATATCTGCCCGATCGCCATTTTAAGGGTAGAAATCACCCTTTCCGATTTTGAAGATAAGTTCGATTATTTTACTTATTATTTTTACGATTATTGCGAAATCATGTGACTATGGGCTGATGACGAATTTTCGAAAATTTAAAATGGAGGATACAGAATGGCGGGCGTATTGTTAAAAATTGTACACCCTACTTTAAAATTGAGAAATGAATGAAAAAAAAATGTATGAAATGAGGATAATTTTAAGGCAGCTTTCTAGAACAATGGTTAATATCAAAAACTACTCCTAACAGTAACGAATCATGGAAACTCATCACTAGAAGTAGTGATGCATGTGACAATCAAACCTTTCTTATTGTTAGCGCTACCAAGGATGAACGACGTGGACGTGATAGGGTTCTCATCCCATTGGGGTGCTTTTTGAACGTGAGACTTCTTGCCTCTCACGAATCGGGGTGCTGTTTTGACCTATACTTTAAAATTAGTACAGTAATGTGGAGAGTTGTCGTTTGTTACCGCAAAGAAGTGCTGCATACGCATTGATGTCAAACACCAAGCATATTTAATTATTGCAATATCATTCTGCAGGGGTTTCGCATTTGTCGGGAAATAATATATATTCTTAAATCTAGCAGAGGAAAACTGGTTGTGTATTAAAGACTGTAGTATGAGAATGTTGTTCCGTAAATATAAATTTACATCATAATTATACAGTATAACAATGTCAGAAAATTGTCTTAAAAAATTCTTCCAGAACCTAAAATTTTAAACGTCTAGCGGGTGAGTGAATTCAGTTGTTCCAGCGGGAATCGTAAAAACTTGGATATTTTTATTGCCTTTATCAATATTGTCCAATTTTTTTTCAGTCTGGTCAGTCCAAGAATCTAACAAAAGAACAGAGTTTTCTCGGGTGTTTGGTAAAAACCGTGTTTGAACCAATTTATGGCAAAATCGGATGTTAATTTGCCTGATTTGCCTTTGTTGCAAATACGGCAATATTGCACAGAGAGAAATATATTCTTGAACGAAGATTATTACTCTTGGCTCAAGCTTATCATATTCTTGTATATCCACAAGAAGATCATTTTGTTGAGTGAAGAAAAACCATATATTCTCAAAGCAAGTATACAAATATTCTTGATTCTCAAGAAAACGAATTCTTAGTGAAAGTCAATAATCTTGAAAAAGAGTATCTTAGTGTTGCGTCAACAATCCCATTTTCGTATCGAGAATAGATTTCTTAAGTCAAGAATAACCTATCTTTCTTTTTAGAAAAAGTTATTCATGTAACAACAATCTTGTATAATTCTTCATTTGAGTATTATAAATTATTGACGCAAGCATGAATTTTTTGATACAAAAAATTGATATTCTTCGATGCTAAGAATATGACATACTTCATTCGATAATATTTCTATTCTTAAAACAAAAAAATATTTTTGTTTTAAGAGTATCTTATATGTACTTGTTTCTAAGAAATACATTCAAGAATAAATTTTTCTTGAGAGTCAAGAATAATTTCCCTCAGTGTGTCTGCTTTGTAGAAAGTTTTTACATGCATCCTTACTTGTAGTGATGAGTTTCCATTCGTTACTGTTAGGGGTGGTTTTTGATATTAGCCGTTTCCTAAAAATCCGCCTTAAAATTATCCTCATTTGTTACATTTTTTAAAATTTATCGCAATTTTTATCAAGGTTGTACAATTTTTTAAAAAATGCGCCCTCCATTTTAAATTCTTAAAAACGGACATCAGATTTGTCATCAGCGACCTCAAAAACCTTTAGTGACATAATTTCGCAACAATCGTAAAAATAATTCGTAAAATAATCGAACGTATCTCCAACATCGAAAAGGGTTGATTTCTACCCTTAAAACGGCGCGGCGATCGGGCAGAAATGACAATATACGTGTCGAATATTTTTCCATACACTACTTGTATGCCAAGTTTCAAGAAAATCGCCGTATGGCACTTCCCTAGTGTTACTTATAAGTCGGTTAACGAATCGTATAAAAATCGTATAACGTGATTGGCGCTTAGCTTTATTCTTTAAAACAAATAGTATTTTAAGTCTTTCGGTATTCTGCATTTTTTCTAAGATAAGTTATACCTTTACCTACCAGACAGCATGAAAATCTCTAAAACCGATAAAATGTCGCTTAATCAAGTGATATATAACGCGGTCCAACTTTATTAGTTATCCATTATTTTATACTCTATATTGTAAACACATAAAATATAACAATAAAGTGTCGTGTATTCTCTCTATTGTTTTTTTTCTGAAATAAGATGTACATGTCCCCCAAACGAAGAAATTTTCCTATGTGTACATTGTACACTACGCGCCTGCACGTGTAATAAAAATAGACGCGCCTGCCGAAAGGTTAAAGAATGCATCTTGTCGACAATTTTCAATTTTTGTTACAACATATTCTTGTGAGAGTTTCTACTCACTCACACATAAAGTTAGTTAAGAAAAAATATCGCTCACAATTAAACATCTCAAAGAATTGCTGCGAACTGCTTTGACAAATCATACGCGGAATTTTAAAAAATTATCAAAGGAAAATCGGCTGAACTTATAATTATTAAATATTTTGTTTTTTGTTAGCTGTTTTTCAATTAACTTTTACTTTTCGAATCCAATTTTATTAGTAATATGACGTGGTTCGCAAAAGCACCTGTTGATCTCACCTCTGCCCACCCCTAAACTATAATATAAATAAAATTATTAAATAAAACTTATTTATTTCTTCTACACCATTTACAACAATTCAAAAACCTTTGTCGAGTATCTTCCAAACATTGTCCCATGTCCTCTTTAAATTCCGACACTTTAACCCGAATCTCCTCGCGCATTAAATTATAACACATCGCGACTAATCCTAAACCGATTAACATGTAAATAAAATTAACGACTAGTTTCGAATAATTCCCACCTTTCGATTCAGATATATTCGCGCCCGGTACGAAATCTCCCAAACCGATTTTACACAAACTTGTAACGCAAAAATAAGTACTATCCAAGTAAGACCAATTCTCCCAAGCCGCGAACATAATCGCCCCGGTAAAAACATAAACTCCAATCACCCATAACGAAGCTGTTGTGGGTACAATAACCCTCCGAGGGGGTTCCGATTCGTCTCTTTCCGTTGTGCACTCATAACACCACGTGTATAACCACCGAAAACACCCCGCTAAAACTTCACCCATATTCATAAAATATAAAACGTACAAAGGGATTCCAAACATTGCGTAAATAACAGTTACGCATTTTCCTAAATCACTCCTCGCTACCATGTTTCCATACCCAACCATCGTTATAACACTTAAACAGAACATTAACGCCGCTGGATAAGTCCAAATCTCAATGTTTTTTCTACCACTATAACCGTGTAATTTCGTTTCATTAGCAACTTTATCTTGAAATTTTCGCAAAGTTGAATTAATTTCTTGTTCGAAAACTGTTCGATTAAAAACATTCACTTTACAAACGATTTGAAATAATTCCGTAGCCGTTCGATTTCTCGCCTCTTCAACTTGGAGATAACTCTCATCATCTGTTAATGTTTCGATGTAACGAAATGTGAAAGCACCGACAGCGGTGTAACCAACAACTAGTCCTCCCACACCGACCTGGGTACACATAAAAGCCACTAATTTTCGACAACAATCCTTAATTTTTTCTCTAGCCGAAACATCGCTTGTTGATGAAGACTCCCGGCTTCGCGTCGAGCTTCGGAAACTTCTTCTTGGTCTGCCCTCCATCGTGGTTACTAATGTTTAACTGTATATGTGGAATATTGGGGCCTATTTATAAAGCATTGAGGTTTGGAACCGTGCCAGATTTAATTTACAAAGCAAACGGAACGGGAATCGGGACGAAAACGGAACGAATGGCCTTATTCTTGTCGACGCGTGAGGATTTACGAAACAAGTTTTCGTCTCTGTGTATGCTACTTTTTCATTTATGATTCATTAATCTTTCAGTTTTTTCGATGGTGGTATTTTTGGGGACGCCGGTTCTATTTGTAACTATTCGTTTCAATCGACTTTACTTATTAATGTTTATATTTCTTAAATCTAAGAATTTATTAATAAAATAACTTAAAAAAATAAACAAGTTAAATCAAGAAATTTTAATTTGAGGTTATGTTACCAATCATTTTTACTTACCATATTTTGAACCTTCAAAATCACTCCCAACACCATTCTTACTCAAATAATCCTGATTTAAACCTTCTTAAATGATTTAAATCAAGAATTATTTAAATATTTTTATTCTAAACTATAAATTGTTGTTGTATATTATTTCTATAATTAATAACAGATGGCGCTATTAACTGTCAAATTTTTTTTTCTTTAATTTAAAATATAATAATGAATTAAATATTATAATTAATATTTCTTAAATCTAAGAATTAATTAGTAAAATAACTTAAAAAAATAAACGAGTTAAAACAAGTTCAAAATCTTAATTTGAGGTTATGTTACCAATCATTTTTACTTACCATATTTTTAATCTTCAAAATCACTCCCAACACCATTCTTACTCATATAATCCTAATTTAAACCTTTTTAAATAATTTAAATCGAGAATTATTTAACTATTGTAATTCTAAACTATATATAAATTGTAGCTGTATATTATTTTGATAATTAATAACAGATGGCGCTATTAACTGTCAAAAAAATTTTTTATTTAAAATATAATAATGAATATTAATAAATAAATATTACTAAATATAATTGTAAGTTTAACAATAAATAAATTCAAATTTAAACAATTTATTTCTTTTATCCTTTCTCTTTTTTAATAATTTAAATATAACATACGCTAGATGGCGCACTTAATCAACGCTTCTCATCAAATGTCAAAAGCAACATTGCAAAAAAATTTGATTAAACATCGTTTTTCGAATTAAAGTTAACAATTAATTAAAGTTATGCCGGTCGTAGATGTGCCGGTTAATCCCCCACCGGAAAATCAGGAAGAACCGGGTCCAATCAACCCCGTTGTTGGGATAATTTACCCTCCCCCAGAGGTTAGGAGTATCCTTTTTAATATAATCATCCATTTTAGCAGTTTATACCTCTAATTAGTAAGTATATGGTATTTTTACGCTTTAGAGTGCATTTTCCTGAAATTGCGGCTAAGACATCGTCGATAAAACTGCAAGTTTCGTCGCGAGAAATGGACCGGAATTTGAAGCCCGGATTCGCCAAAATGAAATTGGAAACCCCAAGTTTAATTTTCTCAATACCGGGGATCCTTATCATGCTTATTATCAACATAAAGTTAAAGATTTTCAAGAGGGAAAAGGTAATTATTATTAATTTGTTTTTTTTAGGTTATATTACATTATATTACATAGACTACATATCGGGTAGGCAGACCAACCTTGCACCGCCACCCTAAGCATCTATTGTACCCTGATAGATATTGCAGTCCAACACTCTTAACGAACATTAATACCTTGCTCGGTGAAAGGTCATTCACATCCTTTGAGGAGATAAACTGCGACCCAAAAATCGAGAATCTGATATGGTTAATGGCAGGGTAGCGGCATAAAACATGTTCAATCTCAACCAGAGATTGCCAATCCAGCTACTCATTGAATTCGTGAAAGTTTATTGATAACTGAAGTCTGTCAGACTTTCTTATACCAGGCCTAACCACAGTAACATAGAGCCAGTACAGTCTTTCAGGGGTAAGACCCCAATTTTTTCCACAAAAACTGCGACAAATCCACAAGGATAGTCTAGCTTTGTGCAAAACTCCCTGCAAATGTCCATTCCATGACAAGGTTTTGTCTAGGATTACTCCTAGATATTTGACTTCCTTTAGGAAAGGAATTTCTTCACCTTGGATAGTTGGGCGGATTAGTCCATCCAACTTTCGTTTCCTGGTGAAGGGCACAACAATTGTCTTTTGCGGGTTTATCGAGAGGTTCTCTCCCTTACACCAAGCGCAAATGAAATCTAGGGTCACCTGGAGGACTTTAAATATCCTGGACAAACAGGTTCCTTTAACCATAACGACAATGTCATCAGTCATCAGCATAAGCTTGTTCATTCAAGAGTCAGAAAAGCAGCTCAATCTTTTCATGAACGTTAATATAGATCAGAAAGGTATGTTCCTTATATCCGAAATTTGGAGCCATGGTACTCCGAAAATGGATTCCCTTAAGTACGCGAAGTTGGGACAGTCACAAACAATATGACTTACCATCTCGTCTTCCATTTCACACCCTCTACAGAGGGGTGTATTCGCCAGCTTCATGTAAAACATGTGCTTACGTAACCTGCAGTGTCCGGTCAGGATGTGGGTGAGAAGCCTCAAGTCACTTTTTGATTTTCCCAGAAACTGAGTAGATCTTTTCCGGTAAGGGTAGAGCAGAGTTTTCTTAGCAAAGACACCTGCTGCTGTCCCATCCCATCTGTCGCCAAAACCTCGATAGGAGATGGAGTTTATCAGTTTTGATACTGTATTAACAGCTAGTGGTACAAACGGTTCAGGGGAGATCGGTGACTTGTTAGCCGCCCGTTTCGCCAGTCTGTCCGCATAATCATGTCTTTTAATTCCGATGTCTCCTTTTCGCCACTTTATCGTAACGTTGTTGTAGTTTGACCAACGATAATGTAGTTTGGTGCCTACCAACCGCCAGCATAGCCTGTCTGCTATCAGAGCAGATTACAATGTTTCTGCCGACTTTTTTGGAGCCGATGATCGCATCGGCGGCTATGTTTATAGCAGTTAATTCGGCTTCAGCAGTCGTGCAATACGATCCTAACGAAGTGGAAAATATAACGCTAGAAAATTCCCGCTCCGAAACCTCCAGCCTTCTTTGATCCATCAGTGCAGATGGTCAGCGTTTTGCCCGAGCTTGAGTTGCTCTGGGGTATCGTTTCAATGCCAAAGTGTGGTTTGCCTAAGAAAGTAGGTGTAATGTAGTCTGTGCGAGCTTTAAGGAGGGGTTGTTTACGAACAGCCTCATTCCAGAGCTTGCTCCGGACTATTCCCATTTTTCTAACCTGCTTATCATTTACTGATCGCAATCGAAGCAAGGCCTTCACGGCCACCTCCCTGATAAAAATATCTAGGGGCAGCACGTTCAGCATAGTCTCCATCGCAAGCGTAGGTGTAGATCTCATGGCGCCTGTGATTAGCAGGCAGGCCAGTTATTGCAATTGATGCAGCAATTTAGCTTTATATGCATGTTTTAGTGCTGAGCACCAAACTATGGCTCCGTGAGCTACCATGGGTCTTATCATAGAAGTGTAGATCCACATTGTGACTTTCGGATTTAGTCCCCAAGTATTCTCGATAGCTCTTCGGCACTGGGTCAGTACAATCGTTGCTTTTTTGGTTTTGTAACTAATGTGTGATGTTCAAGTTAGTCCTTTGTCCAAGATAACGCCCAGATATTTCACCTCTGGAGCAAAGGTTAATGGATTATTACAGAAATTGGGTGGCGTTAAGTGTGCCAAGAAACTGGCACACTTAACGTTTAGTGAAGAGCCATTCAGCCCTTCACACCATTATTCAACAAGTTTAAGCGCCTGCTGCATTCTGTAACAAAGAAAATTGTCAGATTCACCTCTTAACAAGATAGCCACGTCATCGGCGTAACCAACTGTGAAGAGATATTTATTGTTTAACTCACGAATGAGATCATCAACTATTAAGCACCAGAGAAGCGGTGAGAGTACCCTACCTTGTGGGCAACCCTTAACCACAGCTCTCTGTACTGTGTGACATTTCGCCTTAGCCTGAACAACTCTGCTTGCTAGTATTGTTTTTATCCAGCCCGCGATGACCAATGGCACTCTTCGAGATTCCAATACCAGGTTAATACTACTAAAGGTGGTTTTGTCAAACGCTCCCTCTATGTCAAGGAAAGTTCCCAGAATAGACTCCACTACCATATGTAGTGCGCTATCCACAGATTTACCTTTGATATAATCATGTTGGTGCAAGTGCAAAGGAAATGCTTTAAGTACATTTTCCCTAATGTAATGTTCACATTTCCTTTAAAGACACTTGAAAGACAAGTGTCTTTAAAGGAAATGATGAGAAACTAATTGGTCGAAAGGCTTTAGGATCCGTTGTGTCCTTTTTTCCATTCTTTGGTATAAAGGTTACTGTAACCTTCCTCCAGCTGATGGGAACGTAATTGAAGGCTAAGCAGGCTTTAAAAACTCTCATCAAGTGAGAAGAAGAGCAGGAAATATACCGTCGGGTCCGGGTGTTTTGAAAGGCTCAAAACTGCCAACGGCCCACTCAACCAACTCATTCTGTACAACCTGGTGGGCTATCTGCCAGTCCTGGCTGGTAGGAGAGCTGTTAAATTCCACTTGGTGTAGAAGCGTTGAGAAATCTTGCAAAGAACCTGGAAAATGAACATCTATTAGTAAATGCAACGATTCTTCTGGATCCTTGGCAAAACTGCCATCTGACTTTTTTAAAATATCAGAACTGTGTTTTTGGCCACGAGATAGTACTTTGTTTAGGCGTGAGGCCTCAGCAGCGCTCTCCACCTCTTCACAAAAACCTCTCCAGGCTTGTCGTTTCTTTTGTCGTACTAAACGTTTGAACTCTGACTGATGTGTTTTGAACCAGTCAGAGTTTGGTTGGGTTTACTTTGTTTTGCTTTATTGAAAGCTTTTCTACAAGTAACCCTCAGTGAATGTAGATCAGGAGTCCACCAAGGTGTAGCCCTTCCTCTCTCCTCCACAATTCTCTAAGGACATGCTCTGTGGAAGTGTGTCACCCACGAGGTTTGAATAATTCTCCAATTCACCGGTATTTCCAGAAAGGGCATCTGGAAAATCACGCAATTGCTCATTTAGACAGCTTGCAACAATGCTCAAGTCGGTCCGCTTTGGATCCCGGATCCTCTTTTGCAAGAGCATAATTGGTCATAAATCAAAAGTGATTCATCTATGGTCAGACATAGACGCCTCCTGGCAGACACACCTAACCACCTAACCAGTTGCTAATCTTTTGAGATACGTTCGCCGATGCCAAGGTCAAATCAATAATCGTCTGACACCTAGCATTGACGAACGTGGGTTCACAGCCTTGGTTGGTTATTTCCAAGTTATTACTCATAATAAATTCAAGCAAGGTCTTACCACTAAAGTTTCCTTCGTCACATCCCTAGGCAACAACAGTGAGCTTCCTTGTTGTAACAAAGCAGGAAAGATATTGTCTTCTTCGGACGATTTGAACGGCTTAAACGTTTGAATCGCCTGGCCCACGGATGTGCAAGTGACGACTTTTCTAGCCACATTCCAATCCGTATTTGAGGGGCGCTTTGCCTTGCAGGAACAGCCCGCTGTGGCATTATCAGCCTTCATCATCAGGCTCCCTGGGAAGTGGGTCTGCATGAGAAGCTCTAACGAGGCTCTGCTAGAGGCCGTAAAACTACCGTCAGGCCGCTTAAGTGAGCCCGGGGGTAGTGTCGGATCTCTAGCGAGAATGTTCTGAATTCTTGCACTGCTGGGTGTGTCTTTCACTCCCTCACAGAACTCCTCCAAGACTCTCTTTTTGCCTTATGTATGTTTTTGGTGTAATTCCTTAGAGCTTGTTTATATTTCTCCCATTCACCTAATGTCTTGGCCCGGTATTTTTAGGTTATATTTTTATTGAAATGATGAAATTTAGCCATAGTTGAGTATTCGGAAGATTAAAAACCTTCCTTGAGTATTTTGATAGGCTTAATCGAGAAAGCTTCTTCTGATTGTTTTTATTAATATTAAAAAAAAATTTTTTGGTTAATTGGGTTAATTTTGATGATTTTTTTTTAGGTCAAGAACCAACTTCTGGATTACCTGCGGCAATAGCAAAACTATCAGTAAATGTTTCCGCCCAACAAAAACAACAAGAAATCTTAAAATTTGTTGAACAACCTTTTGTACCTAAAGAACCGCCAACGGAATTTGAATTCATAGCTGATCCACCTTCGATTTCAGCCCTCGATTTAGATATAGTGAAACTTACAGCTCAATTTGTGGCACGTAACGGTCGGCAATTTCTCACCCAATTGATGAATCGGGAACAAAGAAATTTCCAATTCGATTTTTTACGACCGCAACACTCTCTTTTCCAATATTTCACTAAACTTTTAGAACAATATACAAAAGTTTTAATCCCACCGAAAAGTATGCAACAACGTTTAAGGGATGAAGCTAAAAGCGCCCCCGCTGTACTCGATCAAGTCAAATATCGAGCTGAGTGGCTTAAGTATCAAGAAGCGCAACGAGCTAAAGAAGAAGAAATTTTAGAACGAGAAAGAGGTTTGAATTTAATTTAGAGGTTAGATTAGATTTAATTTTTTTTATTTTAGTGGCTTATGCTCAAATTGATTGGCATGACTTCGTTGTTGTTGAAACTGTTGATTATCAACCTTTTGAAATGGGTAATTTTCCACCGCCAACAACTCCGGAAGAAGTTGGTGCAAGAATTCTTATTCAAGAACGTGTTGAGGAAGGGGAAGATATCGAGATGCAGTTGGAAAGTGATGATGAAGATCAACCATCAAGAACGGTACTTTTTAATAATTTATTTTTTAAATTTACTTATAATTTTCGAATAGGATGAAGGTTTAAGTACAATGGAAGATCATACAAATCGAAAACAAAGGGAAGACGCAAAAGATGATAATCGTCTTCAAGATATGGATGAAGAAAGTTCTGGAGACGAAGGTGATAGTCATCCGAATATACCACAAATTCAACCTCCACTTCCCCCCGCTCCCGATAAAGTCCTCGTGAAAAAATACGATCCAAAACAAGCCGTAAAAGTAACAAGACCTACTGTTGGTGATGATTATTTAATATCCCCAATAACTGGAGAAAAAATTCCTGCAAGTAAAGTACAAGAACATATGCGAATTGGTCTTTTGGATCCACGATGGGTTGAGCAAAGAGATAAACATATCAGTGAAAAAATGAATCAAGATAATGTTTACGCTGCCGGTTTTGCAATCGATGCTAGCTTGAAGCAACTGGCCGAAAGAAGAACGGATATTTTTGGTGTCGGTGATGAAGAGACAGCGATTGGTAAAAAAATTGGTGAGGAGGATGTTAGAAAAGATGAGAAAGTCACTTGGGATGGACATACTTCTAGTGTTGAAGCGGCTACTAGGGCCGCTAGGGCAAATATCACTTTAGAAGAGCAGATTCATCAAATTCACAAAGTAAAAGGTTTATTACCAGATGAGGAAAAAGAAAAAATTGGGCCTAAAAATGTTGCATCAAAAGCTGGAAAAACTTCAGCTGTTATTACAGGGAAACCTCAAGCAAATCCAAATCCTGTGGTATGTTTATAAAAAAATTAAAAAAAAATCAAGTTTGTAATTTTAAAATAATTTATTGTTTAGCCGATAAAGCCACCAGCACCTCAAGCACCCCCACAAGCCACAATTCTTCAAGTTCCACCTCAACCTACCATGTTAACAGCTCAACCACCTATTATGATGATGCCAGCACCTCCAATTCCACAAATGAGGCCACCACCTTTAATGAGTAAGTTTTATCACTTACAAGGAAAGTGTCGGAACGTGCTTTTAACGTTTAACGTGTTTTTATACGTGCTAATAAAGCCCTTGGGGCGAGTTATAAGGGTTGGAAATCGGGGCGAAGGTATATATTCGCGTATAGGTTGAAGACGAAAGCAACGTTTGAAATGTGGTAAAGGAAACTGATATTCATATTTAAAGAGCTTTTCATTGATGTATCACACATATATCTGACTGCTTCAGGGGGTAAACTAATCCTACTTTTCTGGAATTATATAAAAACTACCCTGTCGATATTTGAGGTTAACTGCTAGGGTTAACTACCCTAACCACCCTAAGAATTAATTTTTTTGCAAGTATTGCTTGTCGATGTTGGTGCAATCTACCACGATGATTTCTTTATACGTTGATAGTACTTATAAGGGTTAGAAGTTTAGGGTAGAAAATATATTTTCGCTAATAATTTTCAAACTCCTACACAAAAATCTTGAATATACATGATTTATTAGCTCACCATAAAACTTTGACATATGATAGCTAATCCAATTACCAGAAAAAAATGTTAATGATACATATGTTCTTTTTTTTCCTATTTCAATTATTTCCGAAATTATAACACTTTAAAGTTATCTGCAGCGAATTTATTAATAGTCAGTAGCTTTGTTCGTTGGGTCTTCCCTACTCTGCACGACGCACAGTGGGGTATTTGATATCAAAAGTTGGCCAAAATTCGTTTATAGTCTTATTTTACGTATTTTGATATGCTAAACACGAAAAAAATATTAAAAATAATTTTTGAGGCAAGTAATATGAAAATAATTCAAAATAATAAGAAAACAGATAAATGTACTGTATTTTTTGTTTATAACAACGCTTGCATTAAATTTTACCTGAAGGTAGAATGAGAATACATGTAAACAATAACTTGATTACCTGCTTAAAATAAATATATCTTTCATTATTTTCCAAAATGCAGGATAGGAAATCCCAAGCATATTTGTAACAAATTTCAATAAAATAGGTTATTTTTTAAATTACATTGCAAGTATAAACGAAAAACACAAACAATAACTAGAATACCTATTTAAACGAGATTTCCCGGAAATATGTATTTAAGCCTAGGAACCACTTTATTTTATCTTAGGGTAGAAATGACAATTCACACAAACAATAATATGCATACTTGCTTAAAAAAATAGATACACTGGAAAACAATATTTATTCATATTCTTCCTCATCTTCTTTTTCGCTTTCATATAATCGCGAAGNCAATTTATAAACAAAACTCAGAGCACTGAATATCAATCACCGAATTGACGAATCGAAAGGTCGAGTTTAAAGTGATTTTATGCCGCAAGTATTATAGGTACTGTACCTGAAACGCTTTCCCCGTATTCCCCTTTTTTTGGACTACAAAATTTGAATTTTTTACCTGTTTTGATAAAACTTTGGAAATTTGAATTTTGGCCAGCTTTTGAAGCTAAATACCCCACTGTGCGACGTGGCACTAGTATGACGTCATAGTGCAATTAAGTGTAAGTAAGTGCAAGGTTATGTCAACTGAGTGCAGGTTAGAAAAGTGTGTAAAGCGTGGTCGCAACGAACAGGTTTTATCAACAATGTGTATAATATTTGAAATGGACGAACAAGAGATTGTCAGCGAAATAGTCGCGGAAAATGATGAAATCATCGCAGAATGTTTTTTTAGTAGCAATTCATGCGACAGTGATATAGAATCAATTAATATATGTTCTTATAGCGTTGTCAAGCACGAGGTAAAAATAAAATAATTTGGACATGGTGATATTCATAAATAATTAATTTTAGGTAGTTCTTAGCTACACAGAAGTAGAATTTTTTTCACATTTTAGAATAAGCACAGGTTTATGCTATACTTTGATTGATAAATTTACTGTTAGTGAAATGTATCAAAAAACAGTAAGCGCGGGTAATAGTATTAAACAGTTGATTGTCGAGCTGTTCGACTGGTTCTCTATTTGGAGAGGAGATGCAATGTACCCATGCCCCTTCATTTTATCGCTTATCAAATTCCACATAATAATGAAAGGTTTAAAAAAAGACCACTTTTCCTCTGTAATTGTTATACATTAAGCAATTTGAGACGTTTTGGGATCACCTCCCATCTTCAGTCAATAACTAATCACTCATAATCATATCTACAAAAAACCACAACAAAACCATAAAAAACCCAAACCACACAAAAATACAAAAATTAATCGGTGTCGAATGTTAAATGAATTTACCTCAAATCTTGAAGTGATGTTTTTATGTGCGTCAATTTTTGCGAGTATTGATGCATCTTTTCTTTTTGAATAACGAAAGCTCAAACGTCAGTGTGACATATTCATTTCAAAACATCATATAACAAAACTCCCTGTTAATTCTGCCAACTTTACAACAATTTGGCAGGTATTGTAGAAAAAAAATGAACATATGTTCATTAACATTTTTTTTTGTAATTAGATAAGCTATCATATGTCAAAGTTTGATGGTGAGCTAATAAATCACCTGTATATTAAACTTTTTATCCATGTTCAATGAGGTTTACTGTAATTAGTCTATTTAAATAACATAAAAGTTAAGATAATTATATAAATATTTGTTTAATGTGTTAAAAAGTAACTGACAAGAAAAAAACGGTTACTACATTATTAGTTTAAATTCTTTTTTACTTATTTTTGTTCAATGTATTGTTGGCAATAATGAAAATCATGGAAAAAAATGTAACAGAAAGATTGTTTACATCATGCACAAGTTATAACAACTATTTCTCCACAGATATCGCACGTTGATTTTTCATTAGAAAAGCGAACCTTCACGAAATTTTCAAACTGTTCTGCTCTGTCCTCTATACAGGTGTATCTGAATGATTGCAACAAACTTCAAGGGGTGATTCTTTAGTGAATTTTAAGGGTACTTTGACAATTTTGGTTTAATTTTTTTTTCTCAAAAACCATAATAGGAAAATGAAATTTGGGGAATATGTTTAACTCGTAATAGGGCACGTTTTGACCCTATTTGTGCTTTCAACCGACCCTTCTAAACTACTAAACGTAATCACCTCCTTTACATTTTTGCTCAAATTTTTTTTATGCAGAAGATAAATACATTAGAAAAATTTTACATAGGTAGATGAAAGTATCCTAAAACTTTTTTGTCTCTCTAAAATTTTTCCAAAAACGTCTAATTTTTGAGAAAAAAATAATAAAGCAAACACTGCCCGTTAAACAACGGGGTTGTCGATCAAAAGTTGGAATGAATTTTTAATAAAAAAATCTTAGTTGGCTTTGTAATCTTTGTCAGAAATATTTTTGACGTTTAAATATCAGTGTTTTTCTTACTATTATTATTGTTTTTCAAATTAATTTTTAAATAAAGTTCTATCGCATTTACGCTCGTTCACTCGACGTTTCAAAATTTTAAATAAAACAATAATAATAGTAAGAAAACCACTGACATTTAAACGTCAAAAATATTTATGACAAAGACTGCAAAGCCTATTAAGATTTTTTCATTAAAAATTCATTCCAACTTTCGATTAACAACCCTACAGCTTAACAGTTAGTGTTTGCTTAATTATTTTTTTTCTCAGAAATTATTAAATTTTAGAAGAACATCAGAGAGACAAAAAAGTTTTAGAATAGTTTTATCTATCTAACTGAAATTTTTCCAATGTATTTATCACCTTCATAAAAAAAAATCTAAGCATAAATTGAACGAGGGTGGTTATGTTTAGTAGTTTAGAAGGGTAGGTTGAAAGTACAAATAAGGTCAAAACATGCCCTATTATGAGTTAAACATATTCCCCAAATTTCATTTTCCTAGCGTTTATGGTTTTTGAGAAAAAAAAATTAAACCAAAATTTTCCGCCATTTTTGGAGAGGTGTAGCTCCTTAGAAGACTCGAAGTCGCCCATGGTTCATATATCAAAGTACCCTTAAAATTCACTAAAGAATCACCCCTTGAAGTTTGTTGCAGTCATTCAGAGACACCTGTATATCCAGTTGCAAACCACACGTATTTAAAAACATTAATAAATCGTGGGGACAACTGGTTATGCGTTAGGGATTGCAATTTTAAAATGTTACCTGATGCAAATTGACATCGTACTGGTAGAGAATAACTTGATGAGAAAATCTTCTAATAAAATTGTTCATATTCTAAAGCCAAATACATCCAGAAGTTGAATTTGCCCTGGTATTCCTGCAGGTATAAACAAATCTTTAAACTTAACATCTGATGGAGTTATTTCACTAATAATTTCAAGACAGTAGCCACTCTAAGAATCCAGTAATAGTAATGTCCAGTATTTGGGAAATACACATTTTGTAGCCAATTTTTCATATGAGCAGAAGTTAGTTTACAAGACTTTGATGCCAAAACGAATATGTTATCTGCTTTAAACATTGTATTTAGTATCGTCGGTCCAAACGTGCCAAAGGATTCTTTTAAAACAATTAAAAGCGGAGAAAGTAGCTTTCCATCTGCAGATACAATGGGAATTGTGTAGCTTTTCACTATCGATGTCACCGACTGGACCACGCTTTTAACCCTAAATCGGTTAAAGTTCTTCCTGAATGGAACTAAAAGTTAAAACCACTCTGATCCGAATTATAGGTAGTGTCTGGTCCGTATACTTGGATTTGTTGTTTTCCTTGTGAACGTCTCACTATACAGGTGTGGTGTCTCATGTAACTGGTTCGTTAGAATATTTTCAGGATCCACTATTCGTAGAGATTTGAAATTTTAGTAGCATGGGTTGTTCATTAGGAACTTTCGATCTAAAATATTTTCAAGATAGCTGCCACTTCCGGTGTACCGGAAGTAGACCATAACTTAGTTATTTTAAATGGAATGCTATAGTTTTTATTACATCGTTTAATTGTACATTTGACGACGGGTGTAAGTCATTGAACATCATAATTTACGGTTTCCTTCAAAATATTCAAAACTATAACAGTTTAACCACATTATTCTTATTTTCTATTCAATTTTTTTTTGACTAAATAAATCTATTTCACTTTTTTTATATTCCATTTTTTTATGACTATTCCACTTTTAAGAATATTTTAAACGTTCAACTATTACAAAATTCAAAGTATTACCGAAGTTATAGCAATTAGTAGTGGAGCGCGTTGAATCAAAATCCAGGTTCCGGAAATTTTGGACCTTTGCGAGAACTCTTTCATAAAGTATATTATTCTTTTAGTTCGTCATGCTAATCTGTAACAAAATATAATCCCTTTGGGAAGTTAAGGGGAAAATAACACAGGTACATTATGTATTATATTTATTTTGTATGTTATACTATAGAATATTCAGTTTGCTTTGAGACCACTACGTCTCATACCGTCAGGTGTAAATCATAGCTTTTTATTAGTTTTTAACAGAAAATTATTATTGAAATGTCGAAACGCGTGTATGCGGATAAAAAAGGTGGCCGAGAAGCAGTTGGACGTCCTTGTCGGAAGAAGACGAAAAGACCAGTAAATCGTTATTTACAGGAAAACGAGGGAGCTAGCACCAACAAATCGGCACATCAGCTAAAAAATTAAAGAGAAGCGAAATCGTTGATTTTGATGTGAATGCATGTTTCGGGTATCGATTAATTAATTTTGCAGCTGTTTTTTCCGCTATAAGTGAAGTGGTAAAGTGTAAAGTGTGTGGCGGTGAAACTTCTCTCCATGGCCTTGGTTTTAAACTAAAGGTGAATTGTGCTAAGTGTGAACCGGTGCTAATAAACTCATGTCCTCTTATCGGTGGTAGAGCATATGATGTGAACAGACGATCAGTTTTTGCGTTCAGACTTCTTGGAATCGGTTTAGCAGGAATAGAGAAATTCTGTGGAATTATGGACTTACCTAAACCAATTTTCCAATCATTTTACGATAAAGTTATGAATGACATTCACATTTCTACAAAAAATGTTTGTGAATTATCCATGAAAGATGCTATTCAAGAGGCAAAAGAATTAAGAAAAATAGCCGAGCTCACCGTTTCAGGGGATGGTACTTGGATGAAACGCGGCTACTCATCCCTTTTCACTCAGGAAAAGTTCTCGATCTTATAGCAAAATGTTCATACTGCAAAGCTTGCGAATACTGGAAATATTTTGAAGGTACTGAGGAGTATGATGAATGGAGCAATGGACACTCAGAAAAATGTTTTGCCAATCATAAAGGATCGGCTGAAAAAGTGGAAGTGGATAATATTGTAGATCCGAAACTTTATAATAATATAATGTATGATATGATAATTATGTGGGCGATGGAGACAGTAAGACCAATAAAGGAATAGTTGACTGTAATCCATATACAAATTTAATTGTTAAAAAAAGGAGAATAGGCTACGTGAAAAATAATATTCGTATTATTATGTATTACCATAAAATATCTACCGATGAAAAGCCACAGCATGGCATGTGTCCATTCGGTGAAGATAGCTGGTGTTCATACCAGAAAGCGAACGCCTCCGCATCTTTGAAGTCGTATTAACACAAAAATTCAATTCCTGTAGATGTTCAAGAAGTAATTAAACCAGTATATAACGCTATTTAGAAGGATATAATCAAAATAACAACGAAAGCTTGAACGCTGTCATTTGGTCTATGGCTCCAAAACTACACTACAGCGGCGCAAAGGTAGTTGAGACTGCATCTTATATTGCAGCTAGTATATTTAACGATGCATATACCAGAGATGCAGTTATTAAACCTCGTAATAGGTCCAAACGCACTGCAAATGTCCAATAACTTGGATTCTCAACTGGTAACATTAGAGCTCAACAGGAGACAAAAGAAGCCAGAAAATTGAAGACCGCTGCTCAGACAGCTGCAGATTGAAAATAATTAGAAAAATATTTAGTTTTAAGACGTTGACGAGGTACTGTTTTTCATTTGCGTTTTCTCGAAACTACTTTTTTAAACTGATGTACACGATATCTCAAGATCTACTCAACCAATTTGGTTAAAATTTATAACACTTATTTTTCATAATATTATCTAACTCGATTGGGTGCCATGTTTAAAAGTTATGAATGTTTTAAATTCATGTCGATGAAAATTTGAGTTTTTTTTTCAAACAGCTGTCATTTCGTCAAAATTTAAAAAAGAAAAAATCCCTTAGCTATTACCCTTCTAAATAAGAAAAAAATTGTTTTTGTGTTTCAAGCAATGCCTGATAGAGATATGATGTACACCATCATCTACGATTTTCAAAAGTGTCCTACTTATCGAATCACATCTCCGTCATTTTTTAATATTTGTTATTCGTTAATATCACAAATTGTTTACAAAACTACTGTGTGTATGTGTGCAAGAAAGATTGTTTCATAAATTTACTGGTTGTGTCAAAAAATTTTTATTTTTATACCTATTTACCCGAGCGGTAAGGTGGTGTAACCGCTTAAGAAAAGGGGTTATCTATTACACACCATAACTTTGCAGGTGATGGTCAGAGGTAAATGAGAAAAAACACATAATTAATATTTTTAAACGTACTATATGGATACTTAATGCCGCCAAAATCGACAGGGTAGTTTTTAAATAATTCCAAAAAAGTAGGGGTAGTTTACTTACCCCCTGCAGCCTTCAGATATATGTGTGATATATCAATGAAAGGTCTTTAAAAATGAATATCAGTTTACATTTACCACATTTTGATAGCTATTTTCGTTTTCAGCCTATAAGCGAATATATATATTTCGCCCCGATTTCCAACCCTTATAACTCGCCCCAGGGTCTTTATTAACACGTATAAAAAAATACGTAAACCTTATTTTGGCCCACACTGTCGTTGTCACAAATTACAACGAAATCGGTGAGGGACAGTTCCGACACTTCCTTTGTTAAATGAATTTGGGTATATTAATTAAGTTATTTAGTGGCCGCTCCACCACCTATGGCAGGTTTTGTAACTCCAATGCCACCTCAAATGGGTGGACAAATACCAATGGGTGTTAAACACTCTAATGAGGGCCCTGTCGACGATGAACCTATTAATAAAAAAATGAGAAACGAAGATTCTTTGATACCAGAAGCTGTATTTTTAGCAAGAAACACCGTAAGTAATATAATAAGTAAGATATAAATTATTATTTCTTTGATTTAATTTTAGAGCCCGGTTACAATAAAAATAACGATTCCATTGAATCCAGAAAAATCCGAATGGAAATTAAATGGGCAAACTTTGAGTTACACGATGCCATTAAGCGAAACTATCGCTAACGTTAAGGTTAAGGTTCAGGAAGAAACGAGTATGGCCCCCGCGAAACAAAAATTATTTTACGATGTAAGAATTTAAAACGAAAATTATTTATTTATTAATTCAAAATTAATAACTTTATTTTTAGGGAATGTTTTTTAAAGATTCCAACACTTTGGCTTATTACAATATCGTACCAGGTGCAACTATTCAATTGCAAATTAAAGAACGTGGTGGGCGAAAGAAGTAAATTAGAATGTAAGTACATTTTTTCATTTTGATTTATTTAAATAACCTATAAAATTGATTTGACAACTAAGTTGATTGGGTTGCCTATATTTATAAAAATTAAAATATTTTTTTTATTTTTTCCCTTTATTTAATTAAAAAAATAATTACAAAAAGCAACAACAATAACAAAATGACCCCATTTTTGTACTTAATTTCTTTTTAACTTAATTTTATAAAAAAAATCACAGTTTAGATTTTTTAAGTTGCACAGCTTTCTGTCTTAAAACTCTCCTTAAAATTTTCCCTGTTGGATTTTTCGGTATCTCGTCAACAAAATAAACCCCTCCTCTAAGTAATTTTTGTCTTGAAACTTGCCCTGCTACAAATTGTTCAAGTTCTTTTTCAGTAACGTTGGATTCCGGTCGTTTTACGACGAACGCCAATGGTAATTCACCAGCTTCTTCATCTGGTAATCCGGTTACAGCCGCGTCTATTACCGCTTCATGGTTTAAAAGGATTCCTTCCAATTCAGCTGGAGCAACCTTAAAATCGCAAAATTTTATCATCATAAAAGTTGATTATTTCTTTAAGTTACCTGGAACGCTTTGTATTTAACTAATTCTTTTATACGATCTACAATAAAGAAATAACCATCGTTATCGTAGTATGCAACATCTCCAGTGTGAATCCATCCGTCTTTGTCAATGGTATTCCTAGTTGCTTCTTCATTCCCAATGTATCCTTTCATTATTAAAGGTCCTTTGAAACAAACTTCCCCCTCTTTGTATGGCCCCAAAGCTTTTCCGTCTTCATCAATAACTTTTGCCATCATACCAGGTACTAATTGTCCGACAGATCCCACCCTGCTCTTTCCAGTACGACTTATAATTACACCCAAAGTCGTTTCTGTCATTCCGTAAGCTTGAGAAGTATGATGAAGTCCTAACCTAAATTAATTTTTATGTTAACTTTATTTTAAAAGGAATTTTATTATTTACTTTTCTTTAACAGCAATCTCCATGTCTTTACTCATTGGGGCCGCGCCAGTTCTAACATCCTTTAACGACGATAAATCGTATTGTTTGTTACGGTTTTTAACGATGAATAAAGCAATTGGTGGTGGCACGACTAAATTGGTCACTCTGTATCTTTGAATCGCTTCTAAAAAGATTTTTGGTTTAAATTTTTTTACAACAATAACCAAATTTCCAGCTAATAGGTTGCAAAACATGTACATAAAACCTAATGAATGGAAAAATGGGGTTAAACCTAATAAAACCCTATGAACGTTCTCATCGAGTAAATCTCCCACAACTAACCTAAAATAAATAAAAATTAATAAATCAAGTTATTTTAGGTAATTATTTTTGTTACCGCCCAATTTCCATAAAATTCGTGATGTTTGCATGAGTGGCCATAACACCTTTTGGAAGTCCGGTTGTACCGGAAGAGCACAAAATCGTAGCCACTGCATCATCTGGATCAATTTCCGCTACTTCAAATTCGCTAATATCTTCGTTATCATTTATTAAATCCCTTAAATAATGAACTTTTACTCCTTTCAAATTTGGCTTTTTCTTATCTAAATTAACTACGGCCCGAACAAATGGAAATTTATCAATGGTTTTTGCTAAATTATCTATTGTCATATCGGTACAAAAAATTACTTTGGGTTTTGATAGATTTACCACATGCACAATTTCATCTAAAATGAAAATTGGTTTAATTCAATATTAATTAATTAATTGTTGTATTACTTGGTGTGTATTCTGGGTTTAATGGGGCGAATGTGCAACCGCTGAAGAATGTTGCGATAACTAAAGCGCCGTATTCTAAGCGATTTTCGCTGGCGACCGTTATCACATCTCCGGGGGTGATTAATTTTTGAGTTCTTAGCCATCGAGTTAAGGAAGCTGCACGGCTTAAAACTTGAGCGGCGGTTTGTTCTTCGTTTGTATCAGCGTCAACCTAAAATGATTTTTTTGTTGAAGTTGATTATCTTATCTGGGTTTTGGTAAATAAACAAAAAATGTTAATGTAACTAGTTGCGATAAGATGTAATAATCGATAAAACATATTCTATTTTCATGTTCTTGACATTTCGATTTTTATAAAAAATTTTATCTCCCAAATTGGTTAACATTTTTAAATGAAATTTTGCTGAGTTGTTACTAAAGGGTTTATGGTTCTTTTTCAAACATTTTAGATTTTCTTAAAATCTTTAAATCTTTAAAAATCTTTATCTTATTTTTAACATTTTTTAGAATCATTAAACGAAATGTTAAACATTATACCATTTCAAGTTCAAATCGGCACTAATCAAACTGTCTACAAAATGCCTTATATTAAGAAAAAGGAAGCAGCGAATGTAAAACACCAAATTTGTGTTGACAATACGAATTACGTCTGGCGCAATTTAGCTGATATTCTTCTGTGTTGCAAAAAGAACAGTTCAGATGGGTAAAAAAATCAAAAAGAAAAAGAAAAACCAAGAGAAGGGAAACGTAAAATAAAAATTACAGATGAACATCACCGTTTCTTTAAACTTAAAGTTGAAGAAAATCCTAAAATCACACTTAAGCAGTTGCAAGAAACATTACGAAATGAGTTTCAGCTTAATGTAAGCAAGGACTGTATTCAACAACACCTTGATGGCCTCATGTTTATATTAAAACGAATACGTTTTGAACCGGAAAGAACCAACACCGTCAGAGTGAAAACAAAAACATCTTAATATACAGGATGGTTCTGTAATTAATCGGGAAACTTCACTAGGATGTAGTACTTGCCAAAATAACACAAATTTTTTATATAAACATAGGGTGCAACTTTTTGGTTAAGTTGAGCCAAAAATTTACATTTTATTTTTTATTTCGATTATAAGTAAACCGTGGAATTCAAATTTTGTATGTATTTACTACTGGTTAACACCTTTTTTCAGCGTACCTTAAGCTTCCTTTGCGCCCTCTAGGGAGATAAAATTCACAACCTTTTTAATTTTTTTATAAGAACTTTTTAACGCTATGGAATATTAACATAAAAAATAGGGGTTGTAAAGCTCTTTCTTTAATGGTTCTTTTTTGTTGCTAGTGTTTTTTACTTAAAGGTAATAGTTTTTGCGTAAAAAAATAAAATATGCTACAGTGTACTGCAAAGCGCTGCTATTATTAAAAAAATTTACTTTATAATAGGCTACTACGTAAGTTGTGCACTTACTAGGATCTACTACCAACAAAACAACATAAGTTAATCGTGATTTTCATAACAAAAATTGTAGTTCGGGGTCACCAATTACACACACATATGTATGTATGAAAAAGTAATAAATATTTCAAAATATAAATTATTTAATTTTAGAGACTTTTACATAACGTGTATACGTGTAGAAAATTTGGAAAGCAATAAATTTTTGTTTGGATAAATAAATTGTTGTCTTAGAGACAAAAAAGGTAACATGATTTTATAAATAAAAATAATTAATTTCTATGTAGAGGTTGATCTAAACCGCTACAGATAGTCCCCCTTTCACAGAAACACAAACGAATCAACAGCAACATCAAAAAATAATAGAAAAACTGTTTATACTAAAATTGAAATGAACTTTTTTCTTTTTAAAGTGAGGTATATTGCTACTGTCATTGATCGCGTTACAACAATTATTATTTAGTAAAAATGCTGGTTGTAAGCGATCGATATTAACCCGTTACTTCTTTGTTGCTGCGCAAAATAACAAAATTTTTCTCAAACTTTTTAACAACTTTATATGGTCTTTATATTGAGGGGAAAGAGTACGTTTAAGACCTGCGGTTTTTAGGAAAACAAAATTAGAGTTAAGGGGTTCTTTATGGATAAAAAGGTTTTTTTTTGTAGATTGATGTGATGTAGGAATCGGTCTAATAGTGGAAAATGTTTCTCGCAAACTAGTAAGTAGCGGCTCGGTCTCAAGAAAAGCATGTGAATTAACAAAAAATTCCTGCCTTTCGGAATAGGGATTTTCAGAATAGGAGATTTGATGTGCTTAGTAATCTTTACTTTTTGGCAAGAAATACAAGTTTTGGTCCATAATCTTATATCTTTTGACATATGAGGCCAAAAGAAATGTGTCTTGAGAGAATGAAGAGTGACGCCAAATCCAGAATGAGAGATGTTATGACATTTTTTGAATACAATATAGCGAAAATTTTCTGGAATATAGAGTCTTCGATGAGAATAAGAAGTCTCATACCAGAGGGATAAATTTGAAAATGAAGTTACTTTTTATAAGTTGCAAACAATGCTTTTCGAGGATTGTTTAGTAAGTAAATGTTGTAATTGCTTATCTTTTGATTGAGCATATCCAATTGCTTGTAAATCGGGATAAGAAAATTCAAAGTCGGTAATGTTGATTCGAGAGAGAGTATCAGCTACGATGTTTGCAACACCTTTTATAAATCTAATGTCAGAAGTAAATTGAGTGATGTAATGTAGATATCGAGTCTGTCGTTGTGTCTTCTCAGTTTGTGAAGTAAAAGAATTGACCATAAGTTTGTGATTGGTATAAATAAAAATAATTAATTTCTATGTAGAGGTTGATCTAAACCGCTACAAAAATCATAAATAATATGAATATCTGTCTGAACAAACTACTTTGTTTTAAATAATAGAAAAAAATATTAAAAAATTGATACTCTTGCTTAATAACAGTCAAAAAGTATTAATAATCGTCAACAATTATAAGTATTCGACGTAAATGAAACTCAGAGCCAACTTTTAGAATAATTTTAGCTAAACATGGCGGCACATGGCACGATATTTTATTTTTTTGCGCAAAAGCTATTGACTTTAAGAAAAAGGTTAACAGACAAAAAAGTAGCATTAAAGAATGAGCTTTAAAACTCATATTTTCTTCTGTTAGTATTTCATAGCATTAAAAAGTTTTTATAAAAAATTCAAAGGGGTTGTGAATTCCAAGCTCAAGGTATGCTTGCAAATAAGGCCTAGTTTAAGTAGTAAATACATATAAAATTTTTAATTTTTGGCTCAAGTTTGATTGCTCATAGCTCGAAAACAAAAAAACAAAAGAGTTGCGACTCTATGTTTATATAAAAAACTTGTGTTATTTTGGTAAGTACTACGTTCTAATAAAGTGTCACGATTAAAATCTGAACCATCCTGTATAAGGAATTTGCTTGAACTTCAAAGTGAAAAAACGCTCATAATTTATTTAGACGAAACAAACTTTATCTTGGGAAGTCAAGGTCGTTCAAAAAGGAAGTCGTTCTACTTTCATCATTGCCGGTAGTCGGGGAGTAAATGTGCATCTTATCGGATGTATAGCTTGGAATTGATTTATCATGAATTAAAAAGGGGTCATTTAAAAGAGAAGAGGCTAATGAGTTTGGTAGGCAATGTTTGAGGAGACCTCAAGATAGCTCATGTTCAGAGGCTTTAGTCATTGATAATGCTCCTTGCCATTGTGGTGTTGAACAAGTGTTTGAAGAACAAGAATTTCTTCATCATAAATTTGTAAGGCTAAGTCCTTACGGTCCAATGCTAAACCCAATTGAACACGCTTGGTCAATTTTGAAAGCAGATGCAATGGCGGAGTTGGCAAATTCAATTACAAATGTTTTGGAGGCAAATGACCGAGAAAATTTGTTTCAAACAGAATTCGAAAATTAGAGAATATAATTAGGACCATTATTTCAAAAATTAATTAAATGTAACAGGATTATAGCCGGAATTCAAAAGCACATCGCCTCTATTTTAAACATGGAGGATGTCACCTTTTGACTTTACAATATTGTTTATTACCAAGTATAAAATTATGCATTTAAAATGTTAATCAGGAATTAAAGATTGGTTTGTTAAATTATTGAATGCTAATTAGATGTTCCTTTTAAATTTGATTGGTGCCAATTTGAACTTGAAAAGTTAAAAACGTTAAACGTTAAAAAAACTCATATGTTGTTATCCGATTTAACGTTGATTTGACATTTTCATTGACATTAAGTGCTACAAAATGCCAAGTACTTATTCCGATTTAGAGTATACAGATATGTTATTTGTAAATGGTTTTTGTAATGGGAGTGCTACAGATGAATATCGTCAACGGTTTCCAAATCGCAGACATCCTAATAAAAACGTTTTTAATAAACTGCACGAGCCCGGTACACTTTCCATCGTTAAAATAACATCTGAGCGAGCTACTCGTCAATGTTTAAATGAAGTAGAAAATATTTTGAATCTACTAGAAGAAGATGCAACGACCAGCCCACAAAGAATTGCTGTTCAATTAGACATTCTACAAAAGTAATGCTTATATCCATACCATTTAGGTAAAGTACAACATCTACTGCCAGAAGGTTATGTTAAACGAGTCGAATTTTGTCGGTGGATAAATAATGATCATCGTGTTGTATCGCATATTATTTTCACGGATGAAGCAACATTTACCCGTGACGGCATACATAATACTCGTATTAGTCACGTATGGTCGGATGAAAATCGCCATACAACAATCGAAAACAACTTTCAACACAAGTTTTTGGTAAATATGTGGTGTGGTATGATAAACAGTTATTTAATTCGCCCTTTCTTTTGGAGAATCGAATGATTTACTGCAGGATGTTCCTCTAAACATTAGAAGTCAAATGTACTTTCAACACGATGGTCACGCAACATTTGGACGAAAGGTTTCCAGGGCGTTGGATTGGGCGTGGTGATCCTATTAGTTGGCCTCCAAGATCTCTAGACCTCACAGCACTTGATTATTGTTTATGGAGCTGGTTCAAAAGTGAAGTATACAAAGTCAAAGTTGACCCTAGGGTTACAATTCTGAGGCACATTCTAAATATGAGGCGCACTAATATGCAGCAAATAGGAAAGCTAGTAGAAGCTAGTTTAGAAGAAAATGGCGATATTTCCGAAAAATTATTAAAATAACGCTGATGATCAATATTTAATGTTAATGTATAAGATTTTGTTTCATTGTAGTATTACAGTAAGAGTTATGCAATAAAAAAAGAAAATCGGATAAGGACATATCAGTTTTTTTACATTATCTTTTAGTGTACAATACACTCCTAAAGTTTGGTCCGCTCCTCTCGACTCACCCGGTATTTTTTTAGAACTAGAACTATCATTAAATCTAGAACTAGAAATAGTCAGGTTTAGCCGTACCTCTCTTAAAGGTGGGTTCATGCAAAGTGTTTTAGTTTTAGTCATAGTCATAAGCGTTTGCTTTAGCTGTAGTTATAAGGAAAGGGATTGGTTCATGCAATATTTAAGTACAGCACATTAAAGGAAGATTTTGACATATAAACAGTCGTGCCACAACTCGTGCCAAATTAAGAAATCGGGAGTGAAACTGTTTTGTTTATTATGAATAAAAAGAAAATTGTTGTCGCTGATAGTGTAATGTGCTTGAATGCAGCTCTATTAATCGCACAAAGATTAAGAAATAAAAGACGACGGCGTTTTGGCAGAAGACCAATCAATAAAAATAGAGAATTAGAGGGATATTATGCCACTCAGATTAGAAACATATTGGAAAACAGGTAAGACGATTTGCAATTTTTTAAATATGTTAGCATGTCGTTCGAAAAGTTTAAGGAATTGTTAAGACTGGTTGAACCTTTTTCAAAAACACCAAATAAAGGTGCAATTTCACGCTCAAAGGTTGATAGTAACCCTACAGTAAGTTTTTGTTTAATTTTATATTATAAAAAAATTTAAATTATGTAATAAAATTATTGTAGTTATTTGTCAGAAGGTAGTTCTATGCAAGAGCTAGCTTGAAATTTTCGAATGGGAAATTCCACTGTACATTATATAATTAAAGAGACAACAACTGTTCCGTGGAACGTACTACAGCCCAGAGTGTTACCAGAGCTAACAAGAGACATAATAGCCTCTGTTGAAGATACATTCTACAAAAGATGGAACATGCCCAACTGTATCGGGACTGTTGATGGGAAACACATCCATATGCAAGCACCAAAAGCATCGGGAAGTGAGTTCTTCAATTATAAACATAACTTGAGCATTGTTTTAATGGCATGGTAAATGCGGATTATAATTTCATTATAGCAGATATTGGAGCTAGTGGAAGAAATCATGACAGCACTATCTGTAAAAAATCTTCTTTCGGGAGAGCTTTTTTAAATGGAAACATAGATATTCCTTTTAAAAAGAAATTGCCTGGAAGCGACATTTCCTGCGTTTCCTCTAAGGGAAAATATAATGAGACCATATCCCGGACAGCACTTAAGGCTAGAAAAAAACATTTTCAAGTATCGTTTATCCAGGGCAAGGAGGACTGTTGAAAATGCCTTTGGTATACTCTGCCAGCGGTGGCGAATTCTGCGGTCAATCATAGCTAGGGTAGACATAGTAGAAAATATTGTAAAAGCCACAGTACTTTTGCATAACTTCCTTCGTATTGAATGGCAAAGCGAAAGCTACTGTCCTCCAGGATATGGTGATACTATTCAGTCAAAATCAGGGGAAATTATAAATGGTCAGTGGCGAGCTGAATAATGCCACTGCAAAATATAGGACGGATTGGAAGCAACAATGCGGCAAGAAGGTTCCAAAAAATAGAGATTTGTTGTGTGAATATTTTAACGGTATTGGAAGTGTAACATGGAAATATGACTGTGTATCGTACGTTAGACCTTAAATTTTTTATATTAATAAAATATTCATAAATAATGTTTTTGTGCTTAATTTCAAAACAAGAGATAAATAAAAATAACTCTATTCATTTTGAGTTAATTTGGTCCGCATTTGACTCCATTGAAATAATTGTCGAAACAATAACGCACAACAACCTTAATACAATAAAATACAAAGCATAACTGACCTAACCTCAATTTATAAAATAAAACAAAACACTGCTATATTACAAAGACACAAAAGGGAAAAGTGCGCATGCGTCACGTTACGACCGATTGTTTTAGCTTTAAAAAGTTAAAAGTTGGGCAACTGTTGGGATTAGGACAAAAACCACTTTAGTCGTAAGGTGTTGCATGAACATGCTATAACACAATACCTTAACCAACCTTAACTTTCCACTCTTACGACTTGCCAACAGCTACGACTAAAACACGTTGCATGAATCCACCTTTAGACGGCTAAACTTGAATGTTTTCAGTTCTAGGTTTAGTATTAGCTCTAGTGCTAGTGTTAGTTCTAGTCACATCACCTCTATTTTAAACATAGAGGATTTTACCTTTTGAGTTTATAATAATTTACAATTTAACAAAAATAATTTGTATTTTTGTTCAATTTAAAGTTACAATTGTTTGGTATTTTGAAATAATTTCAAGGTGATTTTATTTAAAATCTTGCAATTTGTTCAAAAATTAATAACAATTAAATGTTATTATCGTCTTAATCTGTAATTGATTCTATTAAATTATTGTTTATAATAAAATTTTATGCTGAGTAACTGATCCAAGTTCAATTGAGAGGAGAGAACTGTGTTATCTCTTACGATTTTTTGCCACATTTTAAAAAAATTCTAATCTCTTAGTATGTAATACAATGATTTGCAATATACAACTAAAAAAATATATTAAGAAAATCTTGAGATTTTCTCTTCACCCCTTTCATTAATAATTTTAACATTTTCTTACCTGCAAAACTTTATCACCGTGCGCTTCTAATAACAATTTGGCCATATTACCCAAAGACGTAAAGATAGTCCGCTCATATTCTTCCCCAACCAAAACATTTTCTTCACCCATAATTTTAAAATTTCCTTAATAACTTTTTTAGGTTAAAATTTATTAAATTGACTCGAGAAGGAATCAAAAATTATCTTAAATCCGTCCGCTAGGCTTCGTTACTCGACGATAAGTAAGGTTTATGCACGTTTTGTAACAGTAATTACGTTTAGATGAGTTTATGACCTTGAAATCTAGATTCTAAGCTTGATAGTTTTAAAATTACAGGAAACTGTAAATCTTGCTTAATAAAAAGCGGCTTTAATTAAGTTAATTGTTAAATAAATGTACATAAAATAATTCTTTTTGTGTAATTTTAAAGAGGAATTATCCAAATCTAAAGCCATCAAATTAGTTTCTTCTTTATTTACTAAAAAAAGATAGTAAAAAAGATTTTATCTTATATGTAAGATTTTGTTACTTTCACAAAGTCCTTCGTATTCTAATGAACACCCCATTCCTTCGGGACACGTTGAACATGGTTTCCCCACGTTATAAACGGGTTGATCGGGGATATTACCCGTTGGGCCATAATTGCAAACGAAATGTTCGATGTACGATAACGTAGGGCCACTTGTTTGTTGGAATATAGCTCGGGCGCAACCCAACATGTTCGTATCAGCCCAAATCATCTGGGTGTATCGCTCAAAAGAAACCTTTTGATCACTAACTCTACAATAAATTAAATTAATCATCCTAATTAATTTTTTTAAAGTGTTACAATTGAAAATTAAAAACATCTTCGTTGCTGAAATTTTTAACCTCATTATACCAGGTGAATATCAACGATAATTCGTTATCTGTGGCCAAATTTCCTTTGCCTATATTTTGCCCAACCGGAAAATTATCTAAAAAGATCTTTTTAATATATATTCATAGAAATTTAATTCTTTACATGTATCTCTACATAAATCATGCGAAAATATGCATTGAGCAACCCATCTTTGAGCGATCTCACTCAATTCATTATTCCATTTAATGATTCTCATATTTGAAGCTGGTGGTTGTGGTCCAGGGTTACCAATAGTTTCCAAACCTAACGCTACCTTGTTTCTTAAACTGTTATGAACGTCTAAAATTGCAGATTTTTCTTCGTCTGTTAATTGTACGTTTATGAATCCGCGACAAGATGCTCCAATAGTTTTACCCTAATAATTTTGTAGCGGTTTTTTATAATCAAAAAAACCATAAAGTTGGTACTCACTGGGTATCGACACATCGTGTGACTTCCACATATCTTCCCAACAATATTTTTCGAAATTTTAACACAACATATTTCGCAATAACGCGATGCTGATACATTTTTTATTTCGAATCGTTTTAACCAGTAAAAAGTATCGTTTTTCGTAATCAATTTGTGCCTCAATAATCTTTCAGGATTCAAAAACGACTCGGCTCTTAAAAACATTAACAAAATTATGTGGAGAAATAAAAACATTTTCGACATTTGACATAACATAAATTTTTAAGGGGCATTTACATTTAGACGCGCTAAAATAAGCGCATTTTCAAGTTTTTTTTTCGTGAAGTTGCAATTAGTTTCAAACCTTCTTGACACCTACTACTATTTAATGATGCTTTGTACTATAAAAATATGTATTCACATATTCTAAAACATTTATAGGCGTATGGCAAATAGTGATCAGATAGGGGAACGTTACGGAGTGAGCGGTTCCGTTTCAAACATTGTAGCATTCGCTAGAGTGGTTAGAATTACTTGCGAATGCATTTAAATTGTTCCCAACATTCATATCTTCTATGTGAACCAAAAAAAAAATAAAAGAAAGATTAATCATTTAAAAAATACAGGTGTTTTAATATAATGTTAAAGCTTTTTAAGAAAATATTGATATATAAATTAATAAAAAAGTAGTTTTTTAAAATAACTTATCTAAATTTAAAAGTTCAAATAGAATGCGATATTACTATTTATATGTGTAAAAAATTTCGTGAAAATCAGTCAAGTAGTTTATTATTTATCGTGCTTATGAGGTGTAAATACATTGATTTGAGAAAAAAAAACGCGTTAAAGTTTCAAGTCGTGAAAACAACTTTTTTTTAATTACAAATAACTTGTTGGCTAATCTGCAATACCCAGACCATATAACAGACCTTCAGCTTCTTCATAAAATTTACTTTCGATCGCCAACTTGTCTTTTTGTGCTTTTCGAGCTTCTTTAGATAGGGATTTGTCACGTCGTTCCTGCCGAGTAATTCGATATTCGTCCATTTGTTCGGCGTATACTTTGGCTTGCCTCTCAATAATTATATTTAATTTACTCATTACAGTAAAGTGCCGATTATCCGTGATTATAGAACGTTAAAGTTAAATTCATGGCCGAGCATTGCTTACCATATACGGTATTACACTACGTTTTAATTCAAACTGCGAATATTTCGAGGTTACTTACACAATGCATAATTTTATTGACAAAAATAATAAAATCTTTGTAATATGGCAGTGACGGCTATTTAAAAATTTGTTAGAACGGTCAAAAACTGGTATTTGTTTGTTGAGAACCGCTGATACAATGCTGACACCATGTTTTTATTGCTGCCAATCCAATTGATTTGGTTACTTATTAAGTTATTACTTATTACATTAGCGAACATGTCATTTAACATTTAATAAACAACGTCATTTAACGTCAAAATTAGGTCTATTATAAATCAAAAAGTACAATGGCAGTTTACAGTGACGAGGAATAAGCTTATTGTTTAAGAAGTTGCTGGAGAAAACGCTGCACACACAAGACGTCTGTATTTGGAACGATTTCCAAATCGACAGATGCATTCAGAAACCAATTTTTTTCGGTTAGTCCAACAGGGAAGAAAAACAAGACATTTGCAACCTAATAAAGGTCTCCACATATTATTTGTTTTCTAGGGTTCTTTTCAACAGCGATTCAGAGTGAATGTATGGGCGGGAATTGTGAACAAGACTTTAATAGGACCTTTCGAATTACCAGCAAGACTTAATAGAAATTCTTATTTACAACTTTTGCAAAAAAATCTGTCAGAACAACTAGAATGTATTCCGTTACATATGCGACGTAGGTAATACGGTTGCCCTGCACATTTTAATAGTAATATATGAGATTTCCTCGATATTACTTTTCCGTAAAAATGGATTGGTCGAGGTGGACCTATTCCATGGCCACTACGTAGTTATACCACGTAGTAGAATATCAGCGGTTTTCAAAAATGGACATTAATTTATTTAAAAAGTTAACATGCAAAATTTATGTAACTATTAAGTTTTTAACAACACATTATTAAGAAAATCTCTTCAGTTTGACCCCTAGTACCTACCCTTTTAGTCTGCTCCGTATGTTATAAATCACACTGTATATTTGAGTTGGACAACAAACCGTACGCGATTTAGTGAAACAGCAGCCCAAATTTTAAACATTCGTTTCTATCTGACAGTGTGTAAACATCAGCTGGCTCTTCACCTAAAAAAACAATGAAAGATACGAGGAGTGATAAACTGGAAAATGTAATGGTGAAGTGTTTTTTCAACAGCACTAGGAGAGCCAATGTCCGGTCCGTATGTGTTAGTTAAAGCACAATACTTTGCAGAAAAGTTACAAATCACCGAAAGACTTACGCTTTCAACAGGTTGCAAAGGCATGGAATTAGAGAATTACAAATGCAAAGAGAACAGCTTAGTGCTAACGAAGTTGGGGCTACAATTTTTTGTAACATGTTATCAAATATTAAAGAGAGGAGTTTAGTACCTGTCCAAATATACAATGCTGATGAGACCGGCAAATATTGGCGTGCAATGCCCACTCGTACATTAGCATCTGCTAAAGAAAAAATTGCTCCTGGCTATAAAATTAGTAGAGATCGGATTACAGTGTAATGTTGCTCAAATGGTACTGGAGAAGATAATCTAAAATTAGCTATAGTAGGGAAGACAACTGCTCTGCGTGGATGACACGAGACATTTTTGAAATGTGGTTTAAAAATAAATTTGTTCCACACGTAAAAAAATATATGGACGGCAAAGGACTCCCTCAAAAAGCAGTATTGCTTCTTGATAATGCGCCATCTCAATCGCCAGTTGAAGCGTTGTCAGGTGAGAACGGGAGTATCACAGTTTTGTATCTTCTGCCAAATACGACCGACCCATGGATCAAGGCGTAATTGAAACAATGAAGAGGTTGTACAGAAAAAATTTAGTGATGAATCTGGTAGCAAAAGACAATAATGCTCCGTTCCACTTTTGCAAATCAATTACGCTTCCAGATGGTTGATACAATATATTGTATGGCTGGGAAAATATGAAAGCTACCACAATTGAAAAATGTTTGAACAATATTTTATGCGATGAATCAACTGTGAACAACATGAAATTGATAGTGATGAACCTTTAGATGTGTTTCAGTCGTTAAAAGATGTTCAGGGCTTTGAAGAACTGGATGACGAAAATATTTTAGAGTGGCTAAATATTGACTTAAATGTTTTGGACTGTAAACACATAACCGACGATGTTCTAGTCGATAGTGTCACCAAACCAATCTCTGTTCTCTGAGTTCACTCAAAGAATGTAGTGACGATCACGTAGAAAATGACAGCTTAGAACCACAATTCAAAGTCTTGGATATTCTTAATATCCATGAGTATTGTTGACCTCTCCCCAACCCAAAACGTTGTATGACATAAGGGATTGCACAAGAGAGTAGTAAACAACTTACAGGTGTCTTTTATCTAGAAACTGTGACAGGAATCTAAATCTGCTTGTTAGTCCTCTGATTTTCTTTACAATGTTATCAGTCTGTAAATTCCAACGTAAATGTTGATCAATAATTATGCCTAAATATTTTACCGATGATGCTTGTGGAATAAAAGTTTCCAGATCAATAACAAGATTTCCCAAATTCTGGCAGATAATTCCTATATGAAGCGAAGGGCAGATATTTAGTTTTTCTATATTTAACGTTAATTTGTTCAATTGAAACCATTTTTTAACCATTGTGAAATCCTTTCAGCTTCCATCTTTAGTTGTTCCCAGGATTGGGATCTATAGAATATAGCGGTATCGTCAGCAAAACTGATCACCGATCCCCTCAGTTTAAGATTCATCAAACTATTTGTGTATATGCTGAATAAGAGAGGCCTCAAAACTGTGCCCTGTTGGACACCATAACATAAATTGAATATATGTGTTTCTGAACATCTGTATGTAATGGCGCTGGATGCTTCATCAAGGAATCCGACCCATTTGATTTAGCTTTTTGCCACCCGCACCAGCTCTCGGGTCCTGGCGGACAATATCGCTGATTTGAATGTTCATCTGTAGAGCACATGTGATAATAAGCAGCCATTATTGCTTTTTTCATGTCCTCCGCACTGTTGATATTTCTGAGGATAGCAAGACCGTAGTATGTCGTAAGTTTTCTGATTAGAGCATCTGTCAATTTTCCTTTTCCGCCAAGTTTATATGTTTTTTTTATGTTTCGTAGTCGTGAGCCCATCCTCTTTTCAACATGTCCAATACATTCATTTTTAATTACTGGAAAATCGTCGCCATATGGATTTTCTTCTAAAATTGCTTTGAACGTTTTGGAATCTCCGTCCCCTATATAGTTGCCGTATTTTACACCAAACTTTTCTTAGGATCTCAAAAACATCTCTACAACTGCATCGACTTCCATTTTACCGGCAGACCCTTCGTGAGTTTTCATGCAATTTTCTTTGTGTTCTTCATACCAATCAACATATTCTTCTGTATTTTCTTTATTTTTATAAGATGTACAGGCTTGACTGCAACTGCTTTTTACAACTACATTGATAACTTTACCGGAATAGTACCCAATAAGCGATGTTACGCCGTATAATGATTTGAATCAGCGTTTTTTCCAAGACCCATCATCAGATACTTTTAAATTCAAGATTGGCCTTTCTTGCCTTTCGTTTTCTTTCTTTTCTTCTTCAACAGCTTTTCCACTGAAATATTCGAACACCGATTTGGTGGCTGAATGCTGATGTTCAACAATATTATTGTATGCACTATTACTCAAACCGTCGCATATATCCATTGCAAAATAAATTTAATCCTTGCCTCCCAATGCCTAGCGGACGCATAACAAAAACAATTCTACGATTTACTTCATAACCAGTTTGAATTAACGGCCCCGAATGTATGTTTCTTCGGCCACAACGACAAAGCAAAACGAGTTTGAACCCAAGACCTCTCATTTCATCTACCTCAAATTGTATGGTATCTTTACATTTGCAACAAATAACAACATTAGCCAAAGCACTGAACACGGCAAAGAATTCGGTACAATATACGGTCAA